CCCGCAATGAAATGAAAATTTAAAGACGATTAGATATTTTTAAAAAAAATTTTTTTCTTCCGATTTTTCTTTCAAAAAAAATGTAATAAAAGAAGGAGAATAATTAATAAAAAGAATAATAATAATATTATTATTGTTTATACAATCGTTTATTATGAAATTATTTGTCTATCAAGGTCATGTCGAATTATCAATCATTGATATTATTATTATTATTACTACTATTATTATTATTATTTTTATTATTATTATTTAATAATTTTACGAATTTAAAAAAAATAACATTAATTTAAAAAAAACACCATTTAAATGATTAATAATAAAAATCACCCACCCTTCATTGGAGTATGAATTTATATTTGTAGAGAATTTAGAGGAATGGCAGTAGGTGTGTGGGCCTCACCCGACAGCATCTTTCCAAATTGGAGAATTGACAGAAAATTGATCCGAAAGTCAACAAACACCATTACGATTTCGGCTACACCATAGAAAAGAATTTTTAGTTTTTGGTCCCACGGTTAAAGCTGTCTAGATCCACCATTTATTATTATTATTATTACTATTACTGTTGTTGTTGTTTTTATTGGTGATTTTGCAAAACAATTATTAATTTATTATTATTATTAATTATAATTTGTAATAATTAAATTAATGTATATTTTAGTGCTTTAATGGGAAAATTTTTGTTCGTGTATGTAAGTATAATTCTCATTAATTCATTAACCTAATCATTCATTCTTTCCTTCATTCATTCACTTATTGCGTCATCAAATAATTTTTTAAATTACAATATTTCATCTAATTATGATTATTATTATAAGTATCAATTTAATATAAGTATAATATAAGTCGCGATAATTTATAACGGTTAATAGTAGTGCAAAGCAGGGCTATATTCCTTTCATTTCGACATGTATTTGTATTGCATACGTGTGTGTGTGTGTGTGTGTGTGTATGTGTGTGTTTGTGTGTGTGTGTGTGTGTGTGTGTGTGTGTGGACTGTATATAGGTATGTCTAACAACATGGGTGTGTGTATATATATACATGTATGTATGTATGTATTGGTGTGTGTGTGTGTGTGTGTGCGCGTGTTCATAAATATTGTATGCAAAAAATATTGTATGCAAATATAAAAATATATTTTATAATATATATGTGCTGGCGGTTATCAACTAACTATATAATATATATAGTTGGGGGTTATCAACTTTTTAATAACAGACTCAACAGACGCTGAGTAATATTTCCACATTCTCATTTCATTCCATTTCATTCCATTACTTTTCCCATCTCAATATTTCATCAACTCAAAATTACGTAGTCTCTTAATTAAAAACTTTAAAAATGCCAAGTTGACAACATTGTTAAATAAAATTTGCCTTACGATAAATCTCTCTCTCCCTCTCTCTTTCTCTCTCTCTCTTCTCTCTCTCTCTCTCTCTCTCCCTCTCTGTATATATATATATATATATAGTTATCAAGAAAGTCTTATATATATATATATATATGTATGTGTATATATATATATATATATATATATATAGGCATCGTTAAATTATATTTTTATTGTAATATTTGCCACGGTAATCTCTGCGGTCCAATTAACGTTCCACCCCCAGTTTTGATACGGTATAAACACGCCTGCGTTTTGTATTAGGTGTTTGTTGGTATGTGTGTTTGTTGGTATGTGTGTTTGTTGGTATGTGTGTTTGTTTGTTTGTGTGTGTGTGTGTGCGTCAGTGTATGAGTGTTATTTTTGTTTGGTGTGCGTGTATGTGTGTGTGTGTGTGTGATATAAGGGGTAATGTATGTTTAGGATGTAAGGTAATTGAGAATTATTTCATTCTAACTGTGTTTGTGTGTATGTGTGTGTGTGTGTGTCTGTCTGTGTAGGCATAGGCATGTCTTAGTGTGTATATCTTGTGTGTATGTCTCTGTGTGTATATTTGTCTGTATATATAAGTTTATATATATTTTATATACACTTTTGCAGCATCAGATAAATTAATCAAATCTTAGATTGTATAAATGTATATATACATATATATATATATGCGTGTGTGTGTGTGTATGATGTGTATGATATATATGATATATATATATATATATATATATATATATACGTACTTATGTGAGTGTGTGGTGTGTTTGTGTGTGTGTGTGTGTGTGCGTGTGTGTGTGTGCGTGTATACAGGCATGGATACGAAATATAACTCTAAATATTTGAACAAGCGAGGAATATTGAGGAAGGCAAACGAATGAGACGGTGAGAAGAAGACATAAATAAAATGTTGGAAAGATTGTGAAAAAAGGAGAGAGAGAGAGAGAGAGAGTGAGGGATATAATATTGTGAAAGAGAGAAAGAAGTAGAGAAAGGAGTTAAACAAAATGAAAGAGTGCAATGGAAAGAGCGTGAGTGGGAGAACAGAGAAATGGAATGAAGCAAATCATTTGACTTACGATGACCTAAATTATTGATAATGAAAAAGAAGCAGAGAAAGAACGAACGAGTAAATTATGTATAGGATGAAAAATTACCCTAAAAATGAAGCGCCAACAAATTAAAAAATGAAATAACGATAGAGAGAGAGAAAGGGAGAAAGAGAAGAAAGAGAGAGAGAGAGGGGGGGAACAAGAGAGAGAAATAAAAAAAAAGATGAAAGAAGATAATTAGATTGTAGAGATATAGAAAAATGAAAAAAATACTTTGAAATTGGTTTATACATGAAAGGGAAGAGATTTAACATGATGAAAAAATGTCAAAAGAATGGGAGAAAGAGGGAAAAGATGAATGAAAGAGAAAAAAAGAGAGCGAGAGAGAGAGAGATGGAGAGAGAGATTGACATAAAATGAGAGAAACAGTGCGAGAGTCTTGTCTAGAAAAAATTTCTATTTAAAATGTTGTTAGCTGAGATGAGGCGGGCGTGTGATGATTGGTGTGGTGATGATGATGGCGACGATGAAGAAGAAGAAGAAGAAGAAGATGATGAAGGAGAAGAAGAAGAAAAAGAAAAAAAAGATAATAATGATGATGACATTTTTGAAAAACTGTCACTCATTTGTTAATAGAACTTCTTAATTTTTACTGTTATAAATATAATTATTATTATTATTATTATTGTCGTTTCTCGCGCCCTTTTTATTCAGCGCTTTGTTTTTGCTGTTGAGGAGATAAAGATACCAAACGACTTCTTATCAAAGGGTCATCGTTATTTGGTGTCTTTCGTTTAGTTGCTGTTGTTGTGTTGTTGTTGCTGTTGTTGTTGTTATTGCTGCTGTTGTTGTTGTTGTAGTTGTTAACGGTGATAATGATAACATGGGTATGAGAATGTTGTTGATAATGATGATGATGAAGATGATGATGATGATGTCGTTGGTGATGGTGATGATATGATGATTAAGAATCTGTTGTCTCCGCTAAATTAGTTCCAATGTATTACTTCGTATTGCCATTTCAGTTATAATTAAATAGCCTAATATAACGAACCATAAATTATATTAATAAATATTATTACAATTATTTTATTATTATTTTTTTTATTATTTCTATGGTATTACCTTTATTCTTATTATTATTTTTTTTATTAATTAATTGCTCGAAAGATTTTTTGCACTTCAATTGCTAGTCGGACGCACTTTGCGTACCAGTATTATTATTATTATTATTATTATTATTTATTATTATTATTTGTTATTATTATTACTATTATTATTATTTATTTATTATTATTATTGTTGTTGATTATTTATTTTGATTTATTATTGTTTACTATAATTTGTTATTTATCTCGGCCATCCAGGTTATGGAATTAATCAAAAATCGTTTGGGCAAAGATTGATGGATCATCATTATCATCGTCGTCGTCATCATCATCTTTGTCATCATCATCATCATTTTCATCATCATCATCATTTTCTTCGTCGTTGTCATCATCCTTCAGAATCATCATTAATATCGTCAGCTTCATCACCATCATCATCGCCATCATGCCCGTCCTCGTCATCATTCATCACCATCATCATCATCACCACCATCGTAAATATCATCAGTCTCATCACCAACTTCATCGTCGTTGTCATCATCAAGCATAGTGCCACACATACAAACACACAAACAAATAAACACACAAACACACAGAAAGAGAAAGAGAGAGAGAGAAAAAGAGAGGGAGAGAGAGAAAAAAACGCACGCTGACAATTTTTCCATAGAAACGTCAGAGAAGCTTGTAATGTAACGGAACGATCTACGCGTGAAGCTTCTGACAAACGCGAAACATATCCGTCATTTTAAATTATCTAGCGCCTATTATTTATTTGTTTTTTGCTTTTTTTTCCTCATTAGTTTGGCGCTTCATTTTTATTAAGGTGATTTTTTATCTTTTTATCCTTGCTTTTAATAACTTATATTTTAGATTTTTTTGGGGACAACTTCTTCAAGGCAATACTCGTGTGAGCGCGCGCGCGCGTGTGTGTGTGCATTTGTAAGATGCATACATTAAATCAATCTATATTTTCCCTTAAAGAAAGATTTAATAATTTCACTATGAATAACGTCATTACGTTAAAAGCCAACCAAACTGATCAATTTTCTATTATTTCTTTGTAAATAAAACTTGCGTGCGTCAACATTGAACATCTGGTAAGAAATTTCTATCACCTATAAAAACAAACCGCCAAGAAACTATTGACAACTAAGTATAATCATATACCAAATTACTATTGCACAGGTTACTAACACTCAAATTACTTATAAATTACTAACGAACAAATTGCTAAAACATAAAATACTAACAAATATTTGCCACAACATCGCATTTCAACAATCCTTAATATCGAACTTACAGAACTCTCGTTTGAAACACGCAAGAATTTTTAAAACAGAACGAAAAGAAAACAGACAAGTAAACAGACAGGCAAAGAATCAGACAGATAAACAGACAGACAAAGAAGCAGACAGGTAAACAAACAGACAAAGAGACAGAGAGAAGCAGACTGAAACATGAGTCAGAAACATCCCTCCGGCAAGCAATCGCCACCGAAGAAGCAGCGGTCGCGATACGAAAACAAGATGGGAATGCCGCTGACGAAGAGTCTCTCAACACGAGAGTCCAAGCAGAAAAAGTTATCAATAAGAAGTAGAGAAAAACATTCCCTGGCGGCATTGGATGATAGGAAGGCAGCCGCTCCAAAGTTGGACGAACTTTCGGATCAACTTCTCTTAAAAATATTCTCCTACCTAAAGGTGACTGACCTGATGAAAATGTTCTTCATAAATAAACATTTCAACGCACTGGCGCACAATAATAATCTCTGGCAGAAGCAATACATGATTCATATCGGGAAGCTAGAGTACAAGCGCTCCGTCATGAAGAGCAGCCAGTACGCTTTCGGTCTGACGAAGGGTAAGGATTATTGGAAAAAGTTGTTCTACACCGAAATTTGCAGTCGTCACATTGCTGCCCCGGAGTACTTCAAGTGGAAGATGTTTGACAGGGTGCTGGAGCTGCCCTCCAATGCCATGTCCTACTTGGAGAGGAACGACGTGTGTTGGATGATGTACTTTGTTACGGAGGACGGCATTGAGGGCAAGGGGCTGGAAAACAGTGAGACCGTCATTTTCAGAGGGTCCTTATCTATCAAGTCAGTCGATAACGTGACGGTTTTTTTTTAAATTTTCATGGAATTACAAACTTATAAACCAATTAGCAAATTTTAGAAGTAGTAAGATCGAAACACGCAATTAAATTTTAAATAACAGTTAAAACTTTTATAAAAAAAAATATATCAATAGATGGCAGAGAAGTCGCATGCCAAATGTTGACGGCTTGAAGGAGATCCGCATATACGCTATTGTCCCGGTTTTTAGAGACAAAGCAGGGAAGAGCATTTCGATGAGGCCTTACAAAAGATTCTTCTTTGTTTCGCAGCCGTTTGAGACAGGCTTCCAGCACTGGCTGGCCACTTCAACTCCAGTGAACGAATCAATGCAGGACCTCTCCCTCTACACGTTACCCTGCGGCTTGAAGTTGGCCATGTGGAAGTACAATCTGGAATTGGTATTTGTGGTTTTTTCCATTCACTGGCACAAGCTGATCACTCATTTCTACAACTGCTCGAGGGAGATTTACGTCGGCAGGGACGATGACATCGTTCCGAACTCACCCCCCTTCAAGAACAGACCCAGCTACAATGCGGAGCAACCGAAAGAAACTGAGAAATTAAAGTTGAGGAATGAATTAACGAGTGTCCCAGTTAAAGAGATTGACACTATGAACATCTCCAATTTGAGTAATTATAAATGCGCGGTCGATCTGCGAACCAATCAATCTAATCTCTGGTTCAAGTACTTTCCAAGGCTTGTCACCAACCTGGCACAAGCCAAGAAGGTCATCAAGTTCCAACTCGTCGAACACTCCAAACCAGACAAACCAGACGGACAAAATTATTTACTGAAGCACAATAACATCACTTATAACTGGAACGTTGGGAAGGTGAGCGGTGAGTTGTGGAACCTGTGTGAGTTGGATGTTACGTTCTATGACTCTCGAGACAATGTGCTTTGGTCCTTTTCGCAGACTCTCCCTCTCAGATTGATGACCAACAGTGTAATGATTATTTTTTGTTACATTTACTTATTTACTTATCATTCATATTTTAGTTTTTACTCACCTGTTGTTTTCTTTCACGGTTTCGCTCACAAATACACAAACCAACTGAATTAAATACTCCTCAATCATACAATATATCATCGATGAATGCTCATATTTTTTAAAGATGGGCACATGAATTGCAAACATGTTTCTATCTACCAAGTACAGACAACTGCATATTTGCATAACAACCTTTTCAAATTAAAAGCAATCATTCAATCTTTTCAAATGTTCGTTCATTCACCCGTTCATCCATCCTTTCAGTCATTCATTCATTCATTCACTCATTCATTCATTCGTTCGTTCGTTCGTTCATTCATTCATTTATTCATTCATTTATTCATTCATTCACTCACTCATTCATTCATTCATTAAATTTTGAAATTTGTTATATAACGATCGAATTGAATCAGGAAAATTTGACAAAACCCGGCCCAACACCTGGAGGAGCTGGAGGAACTGGAGGGACTGGAGGAATTGGAACGATGGCCGCCTTACCAGCGGACCACCCAAAGAAGGTGATCGAGTATGAAGAAGATAAGATGGGTCTGTTCAGAACGATACTAATTTGGGATGAAAAGGCCCAGAAACACCGCATTTCTGAAATGATGATTTTCGTCAACATCGCCGTAGTAACTGGGGTAAAAAATGAGAATTGAACAGAAATGTATGCAGTCATGTATATATTTTATCGTTTGGGCCATAAACTTTAATTTAATTTAATGAACGGCATAGGTATATAACTTTTTTGTTCTTGCATGTCTGTTTAAAGTCCACTTTTAAGTTTGTTTACAGAGCGTTGATGTAAGGTTTTCGTTGAAAATAAAAATTAAAAGCATGAATGTCGCAATAAAAAGTTTTGGGTTGATTTGTCATTTTCAAAGTAAAATATGTTGTCGAGAATTGCGCACAGTTTTTAGTAAAATTAATTTCTCAAGATGTCACTCACTTCGTAATTTCAGTAAAAAAATTGAAAGAAAAAACTTGGTGGATGAATTCACAGAGACCATGCTAACAAAAATATCGTCTGATCCGAAGTATTTGATCAATTGGCGGGAAGAGGATTTGAATTCGCAAACAGCTAAACAAAATCCAATATGGCCCCTACTAGTTTTGAGTAAATTAAATTCAATAAAAAGTCCTATCCTGGGACTACATGAAAACACTATGTCCCTAATTAACTGGCTAAGATCCGATTATAAAAACCGGACAAACATAAAAAATTTTAATTTAATATTGTCGGCCAGTGAGTTAGTTACGTTAGTACACCAAGTTGGCGACCACGAAAAAGCCTACCAAATATTCACTGAATTAACCAAAGAATATGGAAATAATTTTGACTCAGTTACTTGTTCTATGCTCATTGAGGCTATATCAAAGACATCAAAATGGATGGATTGTTTTGAATTAATAAAAAACTTACAGTTATTGGATAAAAAGTTAAATTATAAACTATTCACCCCAATATTATCAGCTGCTTACAGAGAAAATGAAATGAGCATCGTTCAGAATTTATTAGAAGATTTAAATGGTGTAGACCGAATCCCGAGAAAAGAATTTTTTGAAGAAATCCTAAAAAACAAAGACACAAATTACTTATTTAAAATAATTAAAAATTACAAATGGGTTCTGGACGAAGAATTAGTGGAAGTGATTAGGGAATTTTATAAAAAAAAGATAGATGGCAGTGATGTTCTTATCACTGATGTTAAAATATCTGGTTGGTTAGTTGGTCTTTTTTTAATTTGCATATTATTTTTCATAATTATTTTAATATTTTATAATAATTATTGTTATTATAGCCATTATGTTATGTTATTAATGTTATTATAGCCATTACGTCCTACCTCATGAAACTGGGTCTCTGGATGCTAAATGAAGATTGATTGATTGATACCATTATGTTCAACGTTTCATACAGTTTAAATGCTATTAATCTGATCACACTTGCTATCACCACCATCATAACTATCACCACCATCATCATTCTCCTCATCATCATTATCGTCGCCATCATCACACCCCAACCCCAGTACCTGCCAGTCGTGTGGCACCAAATTTCCAACAACTCAACAGCAGCTAACAGCAGAAATTGAACTAAACACGCTGAGAGAAAAGTTTAAGGAAAGGGTTTTTATTAAAAATGATGACATCTTTCAGACCTCAAGTCCTGAGGAGATGAAGAGTTTCATAAAGTTTATAGAGAGCCAAATCAAGTATGACGTGGTCATAGATGCCTTGAATGTCTTTTATCAACTTAATAGTAACAGGTGGATTGGAAATAAAGATTTCATGGTTAAGTTCACTTTTTCCTTTTTGTCTTTCGAAGAATTTTTATTTATTGTTTTAGTTTTTTATTTCATTAGTTAGGTAGTAAGTTAATTAGTTAATTAATTAATTTAGGATATAATGAATTAATTAATGAATATTACCATTTTTCACTTTTTTTTCTATTCATAGCTGGCTCAGTTGATCATGCATTTCTTAAAAGGCAGTCACAGTAACAACAGCTTTAATAATAATAATAATAATAACAATAATAACAATAATATCTTGATTATAACACGTTGCCACATGAGAAGACAGCTAAAACTCGCTACTGATATATGCCGGCCCAGATATAATGTTGACTGGTTCTATATTGAAAATGAGTTAGTTTTTTTTATTGTTATTATTTTATTATTATTATTATTATTATTATTATTATTACTGCTGCTGCTCTTACTAAAATTAATGTTATTTACTATTTTAGTATTTTTCAATTGTACCAACAACAACTATAACAGCTTATATAAATATGAATGTATCACACACACACACACACACACACACACACATAACAGCTTTTTATATAAATATAAATGTATCACACGCGTGCACACACACACATAACAGCTTATATATATATATATATATATATATATATATATATATATATATACATATATATGAATGTATCATACGCACACACACACACACACATGCATCTCTTTCTTGCATTCAAACTCAGTCACTACAACAACAGCAGCACCACACCAGGCTCCTTTACCATTACACCATCCAGTTCACAGGACGATTTATACTCCATATATGCCAGTCTGCACGGAAGTCCCAACTGCCTCCTAGTCACCAAAGATCAACTTAGAGACCATAGATATTTATTCGGGGACAGAGAGTCGAAGTTATTCCACCGATGGCAGACGAGACATCAGGTTGTTTTCTTAGGGGTGAATAAGAAGTTCAGCAAGAGATTTGATAATTTTAAAAAGGGCATTCCAGAGGATTTGTTTCTATTCCAGGTTTACTTTTTGTTATTTTCTAATTTTTTATATTTTGCGTTTTTCAATTTTTTTTATAATTTATCAAGCGCTTCATATGCAAATTACAGTACACAGTTTAATTTTATAACAATCAGTTTAGTTAGCTACCTTAATATCGTCAATATTACCATTAGAAATCTGATAAACTCAATCATGAATATGTGAATAATAATAATAATATTAAAAATAAAAATATATATATACTGATTAAATTATTTATTATCGAAATTGATAAAAATAAAATTCCACACAGATGCCACTGGAGATCGAGCCGGAGCTACACCAACACGGAATTTTGGGAAGAACCAATAACAACAATAATAATAATAACAATAATAATAATAACAATAATAATAATAAAGATAATAATGATGACGATAATAATGATTACGTCATTCATATACCTTACACAAAGAAGGAAGTTAATACTTATAAATTCAATCAAATTTACTGGCTCTGCATTAGAAAATCTTTTTGTGGGAATGGAAGTAATTTTGTGAAATAAGGGTTTCGAGAAAAAAGAATGTCGAATTTAGTTTGTTTTTTGTTCAATCAATCAATCAATCAATCAATCGATCAATCAATTATCAATCAATTAGTTTATAAAGATGTTCAAGAGCGCTTCTCAGTGAATTTTGCAAGCAGATGGGTCTTGAGATCCGCTCTGAACTTCGTAAGTGATGGAGAAGTAGTCAGAGAAGTATAGAGTATAAATAGAAGAGGGCCAAGAATAAAACCCTAAAGTAAGGTACCCAAAAGTAAAAGTCTAAAATGCAAAACTCAATTCACATACAAAAAAAAAACAAGAAATAAATTTGAGAAAAACAATTACATTTTCGATTTTATAAACCAAAATAAATATATTATTAAAAATTTGTAACTGAAAAACGTTGCAAAAAATCTAGTCTATAAAAAAAACAGGCTTTTACCATCTTAACAATCATTTTTTATTATGAAGACATATTAAGTGTTTACCGTTCTGAAAAAAAATATTTTACCAGATTGTATAATAAAATATTTATAAAAATTTATTTCGAAAATTTAAAACAATTATCCTCAAATAAAAGTTTGTAATCTACAGCGGTTTTCGATTTTACTGTCAAAATTGTCAAAGAAATTATCCAAAAACTTCATTTATCTGAAGAAAATTGTCTTTCGAAAATGTTAAATAGTTAAAAAACCGCCAAAAATTATTTCTACATTGATAATACTATCTATAGTTTACTTAATAAGACAAGTAAAAATAGCCAATAAAGAGATTCTTATAACTTATAAATTATGGCTCAAAACAAGTTGAAAAGTTCATCTGTCTTAACAATTTCTAACGCGAGTTTTCATTCATTCATATTCTCATAAAATAATACTGAAATTATTCAAAGTAGTAAAATTATTCAAACATGATACTGAGAATTGGATCTAGAATACTGATGAATTAACGCCAAAAATATCTTCTTATGATTATAATCATTATTTCAGTAAGCATTATTAATATTTATTAATTATGATTATTAATGTGTGTAGTGTGTGTGTTTATGTGTGTGTGTTTATGTGTGTGTGTGGATTGTGTGTGGTCAATTAATGATTGATAAGACCGGTCAGTTGCGCTTTCGACTTATTCCAATTGGCACCAGTTAATCTAAGCTGAGGGCAGTTTGGTATTTCCGTCGCTAACAGAGGTATTGTTGTGGTATCTGCCGTTGTTTCTGTGGTATTCGCCGACGGTTGTGTGGCATTTGTTGTGGATTTTGTTGTATTTGTGTTGTTTTCGTTGCTGTTGTTGTTGTTGTTGTTGATGTCATCGCTGACATTCTGGCATGTCTGAGTGACGTCTGGGAAAATGTTGTTGATTGATGTCGGTGACGATGTCATTGAGTTCGAGTATATGTGCTGCCGGGCTGGGGCCAAGTCGGCCAAACTTTGCATGCAGCTGGTGATGTTGCTGCTGTTGTTGTTGCTGCTGCTGCTGCTGTTTTTAGCCAGCAGTAGCTGCTGGCTAGTCTCGTTCAGCCATTGGTTGATAGCAGCCTCGTCCATACCAGCTGGGCATTTGTCCAGCATTTTCAACTTCATCAGCTGTTCATTCATCGATGACGTCATATTACCGGAAGTCTGATGGTGATGATGATGATGTGGAGGGGAGGGATTATGATGATGGTAAGGATGAAGTTGGAGGGGAGGCTGATAATGAAGGGGGTGCTGGTGTTTGTAGAGGGTAGTGGCAAAAGGTTTGGGGACCGTTGCTGATGGTGGATGGTCCATTTCTGAAAATAGTTTTTTTTTTGAATTTTCATTGAGGTACTAATTAAAAGATGCGGTGTTTTTAATTTATTAAAATAAATTGACGATATTCTAGATAATTTATTAACGAGACAATGACAGTTTTAATACCAAAAAAATGACTTTTTTTCTAATTAATACAGAAACTATAACAATTTAACAGTCTTAATTTTTTTCTAATTTCATTAAATTCATTTTATAATTACATTAAATTTAAAAAAATATTTATAGAAATTTAAAAAAATTACGAATTCATTTCCAAAAGCTTCCAACCGAAATTCCAGAGTGGCGCATCAATGTTGATGTGACGCTGAGACATGGCACAGAGGTCAAGGTCATCCAGAACAAAATTTGACGGTACATGCTGATCCACAGATGATGGGCAACAATGTTGAGGTTGAAACATTTTGCCGTTGTTGATGTTCTTAATGTTGTTGTTGATGATGTTGATATTGTTGTTGTTGTTGTAGAGGTTTTGGTTTTCATTTGATGAGTTTGTTGTTGTTGTTGACGGCGAGCCTCGTATAACCATGTTGGCGAAGCCGGCAGATGACGACGACGATTCAACTAACCTCTCATTTAAATAGTTTTGTTGTAGTAGAGGATCGTGATTGTGTTGGAGTTGGGTTTGTTGCTGATGTTGTTGCATAACCCCCCCGCCGCAACATTTTGATGGCGTAGCTAGTGAAGTCGCCAGCATTTTGTTGTTGATGTTGTAACAGTTGCCGTTGAAGTTTTTGTGGCAGTCGAAGCTACCACCACAGCCTCTCGTCAGTGAAGTTGTTGTGATTGTTGAATTAGTTAGAGTGTTGTTGCTGTTGTTGTTGATGCTGTAAATGTTGTTGCTCTCGTGATTGCTGTTGTTGTATATGTTGTTGTTGTTGTTGTAGATGAAGTTGCTGTTGAGGTTGTGGTGGATGTAGTCGCTGCAACTTGCCAGCGCTTGTTCTGAAATGGCTGTAGCCGTGGCCTCTGCTTCTATTTCAAGGTTAACTGGAGAAGCTATTGCAGTGTTTTATGGACGAGTCTCATGTTTGCACGTTTGGTTTGTATGTATGTTGTTGTGTATGTGCGAGTTTGCGTAGACGTGTGTGTGTGTGTGTGTGTGTGTGTGTGTGTGTGTGTGTGTGTGTGTGTGTGTATGTGTGTGTGTGTGTGTATGTAATTGTAGGTGTATGCGAGCGCGTGTTTGTTTATTGGCGGCGGTAAATTTATTCAAAAGTAATTTGGAACAATTAGCACGCTTATTATGCAGACATACATACTCTCATCCAATTTTTGTTTCTTCTCTTTTCCTATCAATCTTTCTTTCTCTCTCTTTCTCTTTTTCTAACTCTTTTGTTTTTCATATCTTTCCATCCACTGAACATTTTTTTTGAAAAAACAATTTTCTTTCCATCATTCTTGTGTTACATCTTATTTTCAATCTTCCATTATTTATTCTTATTCACACGCTCTCTCTTTTTTTCTCTCTCTCTTTTTTTCTCTTTCTCTCTTTCTTTCTCTTTCTCTCTCTCTTTTTTCCTCCCTCGTTATCTGCCCCTTAATACATCTACGTGGTCATGTATATAAAGTAGTTTTTAAATCTTCATTTGCATAAACTTCTAATGAAAAGACAGAAGAGAGAGAGAGAGAAAGAGAGAGAAAAAGAGAAGGAGAGAGAGAAAGAATGAGAAAAAATAGAAAAATAGAAAAAATAGATAGATAAAAGATAAAAAAGATGGAGAGATTGCAGGAGAGGAAGAGAAAATTTAAAAATATTCAGAATGAGAGAGAAAAGGTTAGAAAAAAAGATATATAAAAAAAGAAAAAAAATTAAAAAGAGAAACATATAGAGAACCAAAAAGGAAAAAAGAGAGAATGAAAAACCAGAATAAAAGAATAAAGGAAAACTGGATGAATGGATGGTCTGTTAATTAATTAAGAGGTTTCAGTTAATTTATTGTCGCTCTGAATTTGCAAGTGCGTGCGTGCGTGTGTGCGTGTGTATTTGTATGTGTGTGTTTTTGTATCTGTGTACATGTATGTGTGTATATGTATTTGAGTATATACATGTGTGATTTGTTCGTTTGTGTGTATGTGTGGGGGGGGAGGTGTGAAAAAAGTTTGGTGTTATGATTTATTTAAAGCATGTAATATTCAATATAATACATATTAATTTTTTTAAATATTATTATCATTAACTTTAAAAAAAATTCATGTGAATAATTTTTTTTAATATGAATTTTTCTTTATTTGTTTGTTTTTCTAAACTTTTGTTTTCTTTTTTTTCTCAAAAAACAATAAATAAAACATTTCCTAGAAGTGTTGGGTGGAATCAATCAATCGTGACTTCGCCTCTCACTTTTTCATCATCATTATCTCTTCATTAAGTCTAGACTCTTGACTGTCTAGACATTTTTATAAAAAAAATTTATCATATTTCTCATTCTCTGTCTCTTTCACCCTCTTTCTTTCTCTCTCTCTCTCTCTCTCTCTTTCTTTGTCTCTCTCTTTATCTAGTTTTATCTCGTGGTAAATTTTTATTGTCTTAGCGAATGCTAAAACGTGTTTTAATTTCTATTCTTTATCGTTTAATCTACTTTTTTCATCTTCTCTATCTTCATTTTAACTTTCAGTTCTTCTCTCTCTCTCATTTTTTCTCACATTTTCTCTCTCTCTCTCTCTCTCTCTCTCTCTCTCTCTCAGATGAATAATTATTTGATGAGACGGACTTGAATAGAGGAGCGGATGTGATGTGATTGGCAGCATTAGAGATCTGAGATGAGAGTAAATCCTTTGAAATATTTACATAAGTTCATGTGAACGTGTTTGTGTGTTTGTATTTGTGTGTGTGTATGTATGTGTGTGGTGTGTGTGTGGTGTGTGTATGTGTGTGTGTGTAATTCAAGGAGAGTTTTGCTGAATGAGTTGAATGAAAATAAGGTCTTCATTGTTTCATCTTAAAAACGAAATGACGACGACTATATAATAAAGTTAAAGATTGTATGAGTTTGTTTTGCAACAGAAAAATGAGTAAATGAGTGAGTGAGTGAGTAAATGAGTGAGTTAATTAATTAATTAATTAATTAATGAAGGAATGAAAAAACGAATAAATTAGCCATAAAGTAAAAGAATGATGCAATTAAACATTTTTAATTTCCGTGCTAACTTTAGTGAATCATTTAGTCATTAACGCCTTGAGCTAAAGCATATGTCAACATATGTGTGTGCGTGTGTGTGTGCATGCGTGTGTGTACGTGTTTGTAGCGTGTGTGTGTACGTGTGTGTGTGTGTGAGCGTGTTTGTTAGTAATAGTAATAACAATAGTAGCAATTTAACATTAGTAGCAGCACTAGTAGAAGTAGTAGTCGTAATAGTAGTAGCTGCTAAAGAAATGAAATATAAAATTTGATATATGTTAAAATATACCCCAGACGTGTTTCTCTAAAATATCATCATCATTACCACCAATTTTATCATCTACACCCTCATCATCATCATTACCATCATCATCAATACCACCATCATCATCATCAATACCATCAATATCACCATCATCGTCATCACCATCATCTTTACTACTAACAGAAGAAAGAGCAGAAGAGATCAAATAGTATGCAGTAGTAGTAGTAGTAGTAGTAGTAGTAGTAGTAGTAGTAGTTGGTGAATAGTTGTATGTGATGTTTATTTAACGATAGATTTGACAGTTGATAAAAGTTAATGCAGTAAATTAAATGTAAATTTTAATGGATCTCTCTTTTTCTCTCATCTCTCTCTCTCTCTCTCTTTCTCTCTCTCTCACATACACACATATGGGTTCACACACCAACACATACACACGCATACAATCAAACACACTTTTTAAAAACACACTCACACACACAGACACACACACATACGCAAACACACAGACACATACACAAACACACACTCACCGTAATAAACTGTTTATTTTTGAAACTGATGCCCTGAGTTGATAACTCAACGCTATATAAGGTTACAAGCATTTTGAGCAGGTTAATAAAACTTCAGTTGTTGAGATGATAGTAAGTATTAATACTACATTATGAAGTATTAATAATAAAAATAAAAAATATAATAATAATAAGAATTCTATTATATATATATATATATATGCATATACAAATAAAATGAGAATGTGAATTTTAAAAAATGTAAACAAGATACAATACAATACAATACAATACAATACAATCTTTTATTCACTTCAAAAAAAAAATGAAGCCAGGATGACTGTGATAAAGCTCATAGAGAGCTCATCTAGCACAACCACCTGAACCCAAATGTACACAAATACAAACACACATACACAGATACACACGCATACATATACATAAATAAACATACATAGATAAACATACATGGATAAACATACATAGATACACATACATAGATACACATACATGGATACATGCACACACACAAACTTATAACTCTACAAGACAAAAAACATGATAAGATGGATGGATTGATAAACGTTATTTTTCAACTTGAGTGAAATTTATTAATATTGTTGTTGTTTTTATTATTAGTATTGTTATTATTATTTACTATTTCACGCTATGGTAGTGATGATGATGATTATGATGATGATTATGACGATGATTATGATGATGATTATGACGATGATTATGATGATGAAGATGACGACGAACATTATAGAAAAGCAACAACAAAACAACAATCACCATAGATTCTGAAATACGAACTATTCTAACATAGATAAATAAGTCGCGCAAAGAATAATAACTATTTCTAGGTTTTTCTTTATTATTTTCTTAAATGTGTGTATTATTAGCCGGCAAAACATTACGCTGATAAGAACAAGTCTTCGCCTTATCATAAATATCATATCACTATGCCATGAAGCCATAAATAAATATTTATTATGATAATATATGTGCCTTTGTGTTTGTGTGTTTCTACATGCGTATATGTGTGTGTGTGTGATATATGTGTGTTTTGGTGTGTGTATATATATTTATATGTATGTGTGTGTGTTTGTATTTGTTTCTATATATGTGTGTTTAATATGTGTGTGTAATATGTGTGTGTTTTTTGTTATATATATGTATATATATATATATATATATATATATATGTGTGTGTGTGTGTGTGTGTGTGTAAATATAAAAATGTGCGTGTGAGTGTGCGTATGTGTGCATGTGATGAGAGTTTCTGTGAGAATGTTGATAATGTAATATCACCAACATCGTAAATCAATGTAATTGTTGTAAAGCCGGTTAAAATCCTCACAATCACCATCAGCATATGTTATCATTTTCCAGCGCGTAGCCGAACTCTCTTCGGTAATGTTATTACCATCATCTTTGTCATAATTGTCTTGGCTTTCATCACGCTCATAATAATAAAAATACTAATATTATTTATTATATAAGAAGAATAAGAATGATGTTAATGATCAGCATCATTGTTGTTGTTGTTGTTGTTTTGTTGATCAGCATCATAAACACAGTAACTGTTATCATCATCGTCGCCGCCACAACCACCACAACAATCGCCATCATCGCTACTACCACAACCCTCACTCGCACCATCATCATCATCATGACTTACTTTTCACATAGATATTATTATTGTTATTATTTTTTTTATTATTATTCTTATTCTTCCTCATCTTCTTACTGGCCAGGCAGCATTTGCAAAAGAAGCAGCAGATGATTCCAGCCACAATCAGCAAGATGGCAGCCGTCAACGAAAGCGTCAGTACCATTGGAAGCCTGGTTTTGTAATAATAATAATTACTATAATTATAATAACTATAATTATAATAATAATTATAACGATAATAATTATAATTATAATAATTATTATAGTAATGATGAGAACGATGAGGATGAAAAATTTTAATTTGAGATTTATTTGGTTTGTTTTGAAAATCTCGAAGACGGTGGAACGCTAACTTACATGGGAAACGTATCGACATTCTCATTACTTTCAACACTGCTGATGGCCCCACCACGGGGTACAGTGATTGGTGACGACGAAGATGATGAATTACTGGCTGAAAATAACGACGACGATAATGACTGTGAACTTTGACCTTCGTCAAGGTCGTGTGACCTGTTTGAAGGTGGTGACCTATTCTTTGAGCCTCCGGGCTTATCTAACGATATCTGTTGTTGTTGATGATTGATACTGGGCTTGTTGCTGTTGTTGTTGCTGCTGCTGTTGGGTTTGTTTGAGGTGTTTCCTGTTTTATTGGGAGATTTCTCCGGACAGCAGAACCTTTTCCGGTCGTCCCCACAGCAATATTGCTCGTCGTCACCAGCCCACTTTTTGCACGGGAATCCGTTGTTCCAGTTCCCGTCGATGTCGGTGTAGCCTTGGCAGTAGGTCACCCCCCCTGTGGCTCCACCTCCTGTTTGTTTGGGGGGTTGAAGGAGGTATTGCGAAATTTTTGGTGTTGTTTTGGGTGATTGTGTATTGGAGTGAATGTGATCGTTTGAGATGTTTTGTTGATTTTTATTTATATTTTTTTTTCAAACATTCAGAAATTTCCAAGTTCAAAACAATGTTCCATTTCTATGAAATCAAAAGTTAGATTTAGCCCATGGAAAAGGATTAAACAGAAAGTTAATGAAACAAAAAGATAAAAAGCGAAAGAAATACACATACATACGAATCTTTACACACACACACACACACACACACACACACACACACACACACACAATCACTCAACTCTCATCGCGATGTGAATCAGCAATATTGTTGTCCGACAATCATTCGCTCGTTAAATAGCCATCAAAACGAAACTCGTACACACGCACACGCACGCATGCACACATACAAACACACACACAATCACAAACAAACACACTCACACACATATGACGTACCATGTGTTAAGAAATGCGAAGGATGTATCAACATTATCATCAATTTTTAAACTACTTTGATAAAAATGATAAAATACAATCTGAATTTTTTACTACTCTGAATTCAGCTACAAAAATTACTATTACTACTACTGTAAAATTATTATTAATACTACCACCACTGCTACTACTACTACCACTATTAATATAACTATTACTATTTTTACAACCACAATTTAAATCGTTTTAAGATTTAGAACACTCAAATTATGAATTAAAATATTTAAATCATGTATACAATAATTTCACATATTTATTTAATGCTACTATAATTACAAATACCCTTATTTGTAATAACAATATTGCTATTACTACTACTACTACTACTACCACTACTACTACAGCTGCCTTTAATACTGCTGCTGCAGTTACTACTACAACTACAACTAGTTACATCTATAGTTACTACTACCTCAACCACTACTACTACTACCGCCACCATCGTTACTACTACTACCACTACTACAACAACCACAACTACTACAACAACAACTACTATTTATATTACTTTTAGTAATTACTACGGTGGTATGACAACTATTTTTGCACTAGAGATGGTCTAAAACCGACACGTCCCGCAACAATTAATAGCGACGAGACTCGAGAAACCGATATTTTGTCACTTCGTCGGTATAAATATATAATAATTATAGTTATAATAATAATAATTATGATAATAATTATAAGAATAGTAACAATAATAATGTTAATTATAGCAAGGATAATTTTTTTTTTGGTTTTTTATTTTTATTGTAATTAGTCACATTATCACTTCTATCATGATGTTGATAAGGTTTTCACGTTAAGTTGTAATGACGATGATGAAAGTGAGGAAGAAGAAGAAGATGATGATAATAATAATAATAATAATTGCGATCATCATCATCGTCGTCTTCATCATTGTCATTTCTTTACCGTCGTTAAATTTTATCCATCGAGTCTTACAAATTAAATACTAATTTGTGTATGTGAGTATGTATCTATGTATGTATGTGTGTGTATGTATGTGTGTGTATGTATGTAAGTGTGTATGTATGTATGTATGTATGTATGTATGTATGTATGTATGTATGTATGTATGTATGTTCGAGCCAATGGTTAAAAACAACAGTAATAAAACCATCATTTTGTCGTATGCATGCATTTATGTATGTATGTGTGCATGTGCATGTACTAACATTGTATTGTTAAAACCAAAACATGATGAGTGACACTGAACCGTCAAACATCAAGTAACAAATGGATTAACACTTTGATTTGTCGTTAATTGCACATGTCGGCATTCAGTTGGATATTTTCAAGCACACAGACACGCAGGAACCGCTGCAACAAGCACGAAATGTGGTTAGTTGCGAAAAACAGTTCCCTGCTGTCGCCTGATCTGACGCTGATCCTTTTACATATTGCCTTAAGAAATTTAAGGGTGTTGGGGTCCATCAGGCCGAGAACCTCGATACATATTGGCAAGAATTCCATCGAGGGGAGGGCGTTCCCATATTTTTTTCATTTTCTCGTCCGCTGCCCTGGCCGCGGCCAAACCGCATTCTTTACTTGTATTGTACCACATTGTATTGTATGTATGTATGTGTGTGTGTGTGTCCAACTGTCCATTTTTGCATGTATGTACAAGAGCGGAAAATTTTATTTCCTAGTTCAACATTGTTTTATGAGTGCGGCCAGGCATATTGATTATTATTTAGCAATTTCGTTCTCGCTAAATCGAATTATAGTAATTATAAGCAGCCGCAAAATGACTAGGACTACTCATTGTTTTATGACTGAACTAGTATTCAGTAGAAGACATTGTAATTGTAGTATTAAAGTAGTAAAAATAATAGCAATATTAGCAGTAGTGGTAGTAGCAGCAGTATCTGTAGAAGTAGTAGCTGCAGTAGCAGTAAATTTAGTAGGACGAGCAAGTAATATTGATGGCGATGATGACGCTGGTAACGATGCTTCCGTCACGACAGATCACGTGATTGATGACGTCATTGACGTTTCTTCTCGTCGACCGATGTTAACTCGGATAAGCAAGTCGTACATAACAGATGCATGCAATCACGAATTTTTGAAATATTTTTTCTATATATGTAAATAAATAGACAAATAAATAAATAAATATATATATATATATTATATACATGATTAGAATTTTACGTGTAACTATTTTGAGGGCAAACTGGGTGAAAGGGTTTCACCGAGCCCGCGAAAAAAAACTTTTGTTAGAGAATTTTTTGTTTTGGTAGGTTAAATTCCACAAAGTCCTTGGTCAAATTTTTATAAAAATTTCGCTAGTCTTCTCAGCGAATAATCAATACAAGTATGCTACGTATATATAAATGTGTTTGTGTCCGTGCGTGTGTGATTGCGTGCGCGCGTGTGTGTGATTGTGTGCAGTGTGTGTGTGTTGACGCTTGGAATAATAACAATGCCTTCAATATGAAATTTTTGATAACCACAAGTTATAAAACTCACTCGCGACAGACAGACAGACTCACAAACACACACACATGCACACACACACACACAGACACACAGACAAACACATTATTATTATTATTATTGTTACTGTTATGTTTGTTGTTTATCTCGGCGGCGATCAATCAAGCTCCTCCACATTAATTGTAAAATAAAACGCTTTTATCTGTTTCCATATTATTATTATTTATTATTATTATTATTGTTATTATTATTTATTATTGTTATTAATATTTATTATTGTTGTTGTTATTTCATTCATTCATTCATTCATTCATTCATTCATTCATTCATTCATTCATTCATTCATTCATATATTTATTTATAATTAATTGATAATAATGAACTCAAAATTATGTCCTTTAATTGTTAAAATATTTAAATTCATTAACATTAATTCAAATTGCGGCTTTTATTATTTAATTCGTCCATCTATTCATTCGTTTATCCATCCATTAATCACTCCATTCATTCATTCGTTTGTTCGTTCTTTCTTTCACCCATCCGTCCAACTATCCATCCATCCATCCACCTTTCAATTCATCCATTTCAACGCCCACTTCGCTTTTCATATTTATGTTCGGCCATTCATCAAACCCTTCATTCTTTCATTGATACCTTCGTTCATTCATTCATTCGTTCATTCATTCATTCACTCTTTTAGAATTTATTATATTTGTTCGTTCGTTCGTTCGTTAAATTTTTTATTCATTTTCATGCAATGTTTCAATTTTTTCAATCATTCATTCTTATATTCATTCACCGATTAATTTACTTTTTTTTTTTTCAATTTCAATTCATTCATTCGTTCGTTTACACGTATGTTTGTTTAAATACTCACTATCTCCTACTTAAATTCATTCATTCATTCATTCATTCATTCATCCATTCATTTTATCATATTTCGGTCCATCCATTCATCTATCAATTTATACCATTAATAATGCCTATCTTTGTTTATTTATTTATTTGGCTCATTCATTCATCATTCGTCCCTTCTTTCCTTCAATCAATCCGGCGTTACGTCACATTAATAGCCATTTTGTGATTGCAATAAATGTGTTAATCAATTTTGTCGTCATCATCATCGTCGTCGTCATCGTCATCACCATCATCATCATCATCATCATTAGTTTCTTCGTTATCATCATCATCATCACAGTCTCACTCGTTTAACACCAACACACCTAGCATCACCGATATCATCATCGTCGTCATCATCATCATCTTCTTTTTCGTCAGTGGTTAGTTAAACTCTCAGCAAGTCAAGTAGAGGAAAACGTTAACATCTCGCACATCATATTAAAGTGTGTGCTGATAGACACACACATTCGCACACACACCGCACAAACACACACGCACGCACGCACGTGTAAACACACACGTTCACACAGACACACACACACATTCACACATACATACACAATTACAAGTACTGTTATGGTTATTATTATTATTATAATTATTTCATCATCATCATCATAATTTTTATCTTTATCATCATCATAATCGCCGTAAACATCATCCTCCAAGCCATAACTGACACGTACCAGCCCTCGGGGAGGTGATGATGATGATTATATCGGTGATGATGATGATGATGATTATATCGGTGATGATGATGATGATTATATCGGTGATGATGATGATATAGGAATGTTTATATTAATGTATGTAAGGTATTATGAATTTTATTTAGAATGTATGTATGTATGTATGTATGCATGCATGTATGTATGTATGTTTTGTATGTATGAATGTATGCTTTGTATGTATGCTTTGTATGTATGTATGTTTTGTATGTATAAATGTTTGTTTTCCATTTTAAAGAATTCAGGTTTGTTATCTTAATTAATTTTCAATGGCAAATATTGACATGCTGTTTCTCTCTTTGATGTGTTTGTGGTTGTTTGAGGATTATCACGAAAAATAACATTGGTGATGATGACGAAGATTGTGATAATGATAGCAATACTGATAACGATGATAATAATGATAATAATAAGCAGCATCAACATTAAATCATAATAATAATAACAATAAATAAGAATAAATAAGAATATTAATAAATAAATAATAATAAGCAAAAGAAGAATCCCATTGTAAAACCTCGCATCATCGCTAGAGCCAGTGGTTTTAATGGCGTTTCTTGGCTCATATCCAGAAGTAAATGAATTAAATTGTAATACGGAGATGAACTGTTATTATTATTTATATTATTTATTATTATTATTTTTATTATTATTGTTATTATTAATGATATTATTATTATTCATTGTAATGATTGTTATTTTTTTATTATTACTCACATTGATATCCTTATTAATGTAGTAGTAGTAAAAGTATTATCATTATTAATATTATTATTAGTAGTAGTAGTAATAGTAGTAGCAGTTGTTGTTGTTGATGTTGTTTGTTGTTGTTGTTGTTGCAGACCCAAATGTAATTGTAATGTTATCTCCAAAGTTATATATGTATATATTATATATATATACTATGTAGCAAGTCAGTTAATTAATTATTTTACCATAACAAGCCGTGTTTACTTCTATTGAAACCTAACTATATAATTAACTAAAATCAATATTAATTATGACACTAATTATAATTATATTATGATATATCAAAAATATATTATTTATTAAATTATTAAAAATCAGTCTTCATTTCGGAAAAACAAAGATGATGAACTCAATGCCTCGAACAATACAATACAATACTTTGCAATTGACAATCCAGGCATATAACTATATATATATATATATATATATATAAGTATATGTATATATATATATTCATTTGCCAAATTTAACGTTTCGCTTATTGGCTGTATGATTGTGTGTATGTTTATATATATATTATTGGTAAACCATTACCCGCCATAGACCAGACGTACGTTTCGTTATATATATATATATATATATATATATATATATATATATATATTGCGTGTGTGTATATCTCTGTACGATTGTATATTTAAGTTTAAATATGTATAACTTTGTATATTAAAATGTTATATTTTCGAATGGGTATATTTGGGGGGTATGGATATGCAGATGCAACGAACACTCTCCTCATTCATGTGTGTATGGTGTGTGTGTGTGTGGGTGTGTGTCTGTATGTGTGTTTTTTGTGTGTGTGGGTGTGTTTATCTGTGTACGTGTGTTTGTTGTTATCGTAATAATAATGCAATAAAATAATAATGAACAACTGTAAAAACAATAAGAATATTATTAGCAATAACTTTTATGTGTTTGTTCTTAATTTATTTTATTAGAGACAACCATTGTACAATCATGACATCTCATGACATAAATACATACATACATACATACATACACACATACATACATACACACATACATACATACATACACACATACATACATACATACACACATACATACATACATACACACATACATACATACACACATACATACATACATACACACATACATACATACAATGCATACAAAATAATGTTTATCAAATACTGAATCTCAACTCCTAGCACATACATATCGAAACACACGCGCACTTCACACACACACACACACACTCATACATATAAACACACAAACACATACATAAACATACAAACGAACGCACAAACAATTGTTTTATTTTATTTTATTTCCCCAAATATCGGTCATATAATGTTTTCGGCAATCAAAAGTTCGAATTAATTTTTCAGTCTGATTGCAATGCAGTTACTGGTACAAGGTGATACTACAGTAAACAAAACACTCACACGTACGTGCACACACACACATACACACGCAGGCACACACACACGTACGTACACATACACACACGCACACATACATACACACATACAAACAAAACATGCCATAAAACAACATACATACATAGTGAATAATGTACAAATATATAACGAGAATGAGTAGGTGAATGAATCACCAAACGACTGAATGAATGAATGAACAAATAAATAAATGAATAAATGGATGAACGAACGAACGAACAAATGTTCGAAAGAACGTAGAATGAATCAACCAAAATGTGAACGAAAACAAACTAGACACAATCATCCGTAAACTGCATGAACGAACCAATGAAAAA